ATGAAGCCATCGTTATTGCACTTTTTCTTTCGTTTTTGCTTAGGCATCAGTGATTGCTTGACACTTAAGAGAAACAGCAATCAAGACGAAATGGACACAGATTTATTCTCTTTGATATTTCTCTACCTTGTACAAATAATCTTTCGCCCTGATATCAAGATTACACATCAGAAATTGTATTACTAATAGTTATTTTAACATTTCTGGTCTACGCACAGATTTTTAGCTAAAAAAAAATCCTTTTCTTAGTAACCGTGGTTCTTCCCGAGCTTTAAGCGAAATATATCGTTTCACGATATATAATATCAGGATTGCAAGAGACGTACAGTACGAATTTTCAGAGTCCGCTGAAGCATAACATTTGTTTCTCGAATACAGCTTTATTTTTAGGAAAGTATTCAAAGCATAAAATTGAAAAATGGTTAGTTAAAATTTTTGTTGAAATGATACTTTTTTTTTTTTTTTTTTTTTTTTTTTGCTTCGAGAGAAGCACTTGATATTATTACAACTCTAAAAATATTTGCATTATACACACCTACTTCTCAATCTATTGTAGCAATATTCTCTTGTTAATTTAGCGGCAAATTTCGAGCAAAATATTATTATTTTAAGATAGGACTTATTAATTTTAAAGCTAGTTTAAAGTCGTATTTGAGGTTTCATGTGTATCAGGTAAAGCTTCTGAAACTGGATATTAGAGGCTAATTTATGCATTATTTTGTCTTCCGTAGTGAAGGTATACGTGTTTACATATCTTCGCTAAACAATATACTATAAGCTAAACATTCAGCACTAACAAAAGATATATATATATATATATATATGTATATAAGTAGAAAACCATAAAAAAGTGAGATCTAGTTGGTCAAAAATTGCGCGTTGAGCTGCAAATTTTAAAAAAGAATGATAAGAAAGGAAAGGTAAAAAATAGCTAAAACCGTAGGTTTTGTAGCATACAATTTATTGCTTTAACTTAGATTTTGTTGTTTTAACTTTGTACTACATGCAATATCTGGAATTAGATAATTCAAATGTTCTTTACGGCTTTAGCTATTTTTTACATCTTCTTTTCTTATCATTCTTATATATATATGAAAGGAGAAAAAAATTAAATTAATGAATTTCAGAATTTATTAAAAAGGACTTAAAATGGAAAATCCCACACTCTTCTATAAATTCTGCTTACCACTGTTAGTTTAATTAATTAAAGTACTGCTAGTTTACTGCTAGCTACTGCTATTTACTGCTAGTTACTAATTACTGCTAGTTTAATTAATTAAAATTCCAGTTTTTAATTTCAACAGTAACATACATTTAGAATCCAAATCACATTTCCTTAGGAGATAATTTTTCATTTACATAGTCTTTATGTTGTATATATTTATATGTATATAATTTCTAATGCAATGCAAGGGGAAAAACCTGAAAGATTACAGAATTTCAAAATTTATTTCAGAAGAACTTAAGTAAAGTCTTGTACTGTCGTTTCTAAGATTAAAAATTTAATTTAATAGGGACCATATAATTTTAATTTAATAGGGACAATATAAATGAGTATATAAATTAACAATCAACAACGATTTTAATTGTTTTAATTGTTTAATTTACTTTTGTATTAATTGAGAATTTATAAATTACAAATTCCATTTAACTATTTACAGATTCCCAATTTTTACGCCCACAGTAGTACACGTTTACTAACAAAAAGTTGCTTCGCATTTCCTCGGAGATAAATATTTACATATTTTCTCTCTCTCTCTTTCTATATATATACATATATAGTAGATAGATATAGATATATATACACATGCATACATACATATATACATACTTTATGACTAATATTAAGAAACATTATTTTTCATGCACACAGGTATGCAATAAATGTTCTTCAAAAATTATATTTGGCTCATTGAACCTCAAAATAATTATCTAGGAATGCCTGATAAGTTTTCAGTTCATTAAAATGATTATTGTTATCTTCAAATGCATTACTATTTGTTTATAGAGAGAGTTTATTTTGCAATTCCTTAGCGATAGACAATTTTTTAATACAATTTTTTTTGTAATTTTATCAATAATTTCTGTAGAGAATATTAAAACTTTCAGAGAAACTCAAAGATTATATCCTACAAAATTGGGGAAAAATTTCCCCTTTTGATATTTTTTATTGATGTGTATAATTTTATGTGTAATAGTCAAATTCCAGCACAAATATAAAGATATCCTTATAGATATCGCTAATTATATTGGACATTTAAAAGCTCTTCATTAAATTTTGGAAAACAATTATGTATTAATGCTTAATGAAAGAAATTGTTCAACTTTTTTTTACAGTCTTTTAGTTAGAAACTACTAGTTTAGACTAAACTGTTGTAATTAGCACATTTATGTTTTAAACTAAATGGCTAAAAATTTTAGACGAAATGTAAAAAATTACTTCAAATAAAATAATTCCTTTATCATTTCTATTAATATATTGCTATTGCCAGCTTTTTATTATTTCTAAGTTTATTTTCTCATATGTATTCTGCTTTTATTTAGAAATATTTAAACATGCATTTATTCATTAAAGTGCCAGAAAGCGAAATTTATAAATGGCTCATTTTCGCAAAATATATTTCATAATGCATAAATAAATTTAGAAATTTCTCTTGAATGTGACACGAAAAAAATCAAATCTAATTTGAAATCACTTAAAAATATTTGGAATGATAAAATTAACTTACCCGTTTAGTATACCTACTAAAGAACGTTTAGCAAGTGTGTGGTATGCTGTGTAAGCTAGAAAAATTTATTGGAGGAGTTAAAGCTTCAAGAATCAGCGTAACATTTATAAATTTGAAGGACTAGTTTCGAATATTTAAATGTAGAATATTATTCCTCAGATGTGGAACGAGCCCGTAAGCGGCGAGCGGAAAATCGCTAAGCATTGGTAGTTTGGTCCGAGGTTCGAATCCCACAAACGAGCTGGCCGCAAGGGCGTTTTCGTATTTTTCCTCACGTATAACGTGTGTGCGAGCCAGTTTCCCCTAGAGAAAGTGCTACACGAAGGCAGCTCTTCCCACAGGCAGATAGCCTTTGAGTCCTTTGCCATAAATAAATAAACCAAACCAAACCAGTCAGCTGCCGAAGTGCAAGTGCAAATGATTTCATTTTCAAATGTTTCGATTTCACTTCTGCACCTAAAGAACAAGATTCTACATATAAACCTTCGAAACTAGTCTTGCAAGTCCATGAATACTACCTTGATTCTTGCTGTTTTAATTCCTCCAAAAATCGTTATTGGGTTTGTTATTTAATTAAAAGATAGAAATTTTATAAATATCTGCTTAGCAATCAAGTTCGCTTGTTTAATAAATCTAACATTCAACAGATTTCACTAAAATATCACTTTAACAATGAAATAGCTATCGGATAAATATCAATTCCATGTTATTTTGACTTTTACATTTTTCATGTTGTATATGATTTAGATAAATTATAAGAAACTGTATTTAGTTAAACCATATTGATTTTTGGGCGTTTTCGTATTTTTCCTCACGTATAACGTGTGTGCGAGCCAGTTTCCCCTAGAGAAAGTGCTACACGAAGGCAGCTCTTCCCACAGGCAGATAGCCTTTGAGTCCTTTGCCATAAATAAATAAACCAAACCAAACCAGTCAGCTGCCGAAGTGCAAATGATTTCATTTTCAAATGTTTCGATTTCACTTCTGCACCTAAAGAACAAGATTCTACATATAAACCTTCGAAACTAGTCTTGCAAGTCCATGAATACTACCTTGATTCTTGCTGTTTTAATTCCTCCAAAAATCGTTATTGGGTTTGTTATTTTAATTAAAAGATAGAAATTTTATAAATATCTGCTTAGCAATCAAGTTCGCTTGTTTAATAAATCTAACATTCAACAGATTTCACTAAAATATCACTTTAACAATGAAATAGCTATCGGATAAATATCAATTCCATGTTATTTTGACTTTTACATTTTTCATGTTGTATATGATTTAGATAAATTATAAGAAACTGTATTTAGTTAAACCATATTGATTTTTCACCTAAATATTTTAAGCTTTGTTCAGCATTTTAAGTAATAAAAAGCGTTTTTGTATATTGCACTCTGCTACGTATTCTTGCATGTTCTAAATTTTGGATAATGGGAATTTGTAAATTTAAGATTATGTCCTTAAATTAAAATTATATATTTTTTATTGCACAAAAGCAATAAAACTATTGCGCTTTTACAGTCAATTGTATGTTTTTCATTGCATTTTTATACAGAGGCATATTTGAATATATGGGAAGAAATGTAATTGAGATGATTAAGTATGTGATTTTATTTAAAGTAAGGATAGCTGATTAGTTAACTGGTTATAGCAAAACACACTAGTGCTTACTTAAAGGGTGGTCTGCTTCGCAGAGGGATTTCTAAGAGAACCTCATATTCACGTTACGCATGAGTGCGAGGCCACGAAAGCCTCTTGCAGCTAGACCGTTCGCCGAGAACCAAACCGTTCGCAAGTTACTAGTATTTAGTTCGCAAGTTACTAGTCATGTCCACTCGGCTATTCGTTGGCACAAAAAGACAAATCATTACATTGTTGCATAATAATTCGCAAATATTCGGGTTCATCGATAATATGTTTGAAAACACAATGAAAATTTGATATAAATCATTAATTCTTTAAAAGTTCCAGCTTAGTTTTTGCTCAAATATTTTAAATGCTTGTTATAATTACTTCTTTAATATGACGATAAAAATAAATAGTTAGTTATTCTTCATTAAACCTAAATTATTATTGTTATAAATAAAGCTTATTTCGAAATATAACTTTAGAGCTATTATTTGCCTTCGTATATTCTTATACCGGATACCGTTTCTCCGGAGTAATTTGTTTCAACTTTACCGCTGGAGCGACTGCACATTAGCTGGGGAATGTTTGCCGTTAACCCCTGAACCTAACCACGTTCACCGATGATGAAAATGAAAGACGACTTACCGATTGGTATCTTCTCCGGCACGGGTCTAACTAAGGCTAGGATATAGGTGAAACAAAGTAGCTTCCATATGAGAACTGTCCCTTTCATGATCTTCCCTCCTAAGCACACACGTAACGTGAGTCTTGCAATGATCACATCACTCCAGGTTGTGCTATGGCGCCGGTATCTGTGCTCTGGTCCCAAACTTAAGTTCATAGAAACCGCGGAGACACTGACAGTCGAAGACACATAGCCGGATTGCTCAGCAGCGATCGTGGTGCTCGACACTAGGAATAGGGTGCGCGGCCGTTTCACGCATGCGCGAAGGATGCTGGCTGGACCATCCTTTCCACTGAGGAGAATGGTGGAAGCAAGCTGTTCAGATTAGAAAGCGAAATAAAAAAAAAAAAAAAGAAAAGAAAAGAAAAGAAAAGAAAAGAAACGAGAAAAAGATTGAATGAAGGTTCCTCACTGTTGAAAACCCTTTGATTCGTTTAAAGATTTATGGCAGTTTCAATAGTGCGGCTTTCCTTAGTTTTACATGCTTTACGCGATAAGAGCCTGAGTCGATTTCTTTCACTCAGCTTTAACCACCAGTATTTGATTCAAACTCAATTTTACCGCCTTTAAATTTATCTGACAGGAAAAGCAAAATCTTATTAAAGTTATATTGCTCAAATTTACAGAATGTAACATTTTCTCACATGAAACAGAATCCTGCAGTAACCTATTTAATACCTGTAATAATCTAAAAATCCGATTTTTTTCGCTATTAAAGAAATCACATGTATTACCTTCTCATTTATCGGTTAGTGTTCCGTTTTTGGTAGTTTCGGGTTTTTATTACTGTAGGACATGATTGAGATTTACATGACTCTAAGTCGATGCATCAAAAATACGCTTTTAATTGGCGTCCTTAAAACCAAAATCCCCCCCCCATTTGTATGCTTTTTTTTTTTTTTTTTTTTTTTTTTTTTCCAGTTTCGCTTTTCTTGATGTTGCTGCCGTTCTTTTTAGTATTTGTGCTCTAAACGGCAAAGTTTTCAAATCACTTTCAAAGTAACGGGAAAAAAAAAAAAAAAAAAAAAAAGATAATAACATTTAAGCAAGTCTTATGTTTGTAATGATGCCACTAGCTTGATATTCATATTTACCATTAAATACTTCAAGAATAAACAATAGTTACGAAGTTAAATAAGGAAGATTTATTTCTCCTAATTTGTTTTTCAAAATACATGTAGTAAAAGGTTTTTCTAGCAATATAGGAAAGAATAATGAGTTTAATGTTCTGTTGAATATTAATTACATTTTTAAACTGATGATTCCTGATATAACTTTGTGAACCCTGCTTGTATGAACAAATAACAAATTTGTCGAATTAAACGCTCCTGGACATTAAAAGCATAGGGAAACCTCAGTTAACGTAACTAATTATTCAATCAACTATTAAATCTAAGATATTTTTGAGTTGATCGAATAAGCAGACGCAATTACTATAACTCACTTGTCAATGATTACAGATTGATAATTTATCAAATAAATAAGGAACCTTGTTAGAGAACAATATCATCTAAATTAATAAAATCATTATGTTTTTATTTGCTCCCCAAACATCTATTCCAATTATAACATCTATTCCAATTATATGCTATAAAAAGGGCATAGATATTCTTAAAGTAAAGCTTTCGAAGCTTCATTTTTGTGTCAGGATTAGCTTCAAACAAAATATCCTTAATATGCTTAACTTTGATAGAAATGCAGTTAACATTTCAGTTTCTGAATTGAAGTTAGACAAGCGAAAATAAAATAATCTTTTCTTTTACATAAAGGGACGTAGGCTATCTTAAAACTTTTATTCTCGTATCAATGAAAATTACCATAATAGAAAAAAAACTTTATCATTTCATTTAAACTTTATGTAATTTTTAATAAATATTATTAAAAACGCAATTATTCTTAAAACTAAAGTTGCGTTCAAAATGGATAATGTTTATTACTTATTAAAAACTGTCTGTTGTATTTCATAATGCAAAAGGACGCACAATATTTTTTTAATGCACTAGCTATTGTTTTATGCACCTATTTTAACAGAGCGATCGGATTTAAAATAAAATAATTTTGGCAAATCGGCTGCAAAAATATTTCATGGAACTTAAAAGATCGATTATTAACGTGGTAATTGCTTACCTAAAGAGGGAAATAGTATCATTTCATCTATTCGCTCTAAGTAAATGCCATAGCTATTAAATTCACGCTAAGTGGGTCTGTTATGTATTAATTGTTATTATTTTCAAGCTTAAGTTTTGCTTACTATTTCAGTTTTGATCTGTAATTGAAGTTCTTAATTTTTCTTTGCTTTAGTTACTTAAAGTTGGTTGTAAGTTTAAACTGTAACTTTTGTAAACTTTAAAATTTAGGTTTGGTTGCTTTAAAAGTTTTTTCTTGAGTTGAAGTTGTTTAGTTTTAATTTGAGTTTAGGGACTTAAGTTTACTTGATTTTTGACCCTTAAGGTTGTTTAACTTTTAACTTTAATTATTATTTTAAAGTTTTGTTTGCTGCACTTTAGTGTGTTAATTTTTTTTTTAACTTAACTAACTAAATTTTTTTTAACCCTCTTTCTATTAAATTTGTCGAATACATATTTTCTGACTGGCGGTAAGGTAAATCAATACTAATTGAAATTCAATCTGGTTAATGAGTATGTATACTTAAAATTCTGCTGAAGAAACAATTTATATAGGGCTGAGATTTTTTTAATGAATTATATTGTTATGTAATAGTTTAATTTTTAATATCCCGAATTCGTTTGTGTTGAATAACATCTCACTGGTTCTGAAAATTTTCGCATCCCAACCGTCGACTTGGAATTAATTCTCAGTATCCCTTATCACAGGATTACTGCACCCCGAAATTCTTTCGCCCAAACGAAAAACCACATTTTGGATGACGTGTTGGATGTATACACCATCTGGAGTTTCACCTAAAGAGGACCCCGTTTGATGTGACGGCGATAGCAGGGAAATTTTCTACAGCGAATTTGTGAGGAGGGGGAAATAATCGTTGGATAGGAAGTTCTACATGGTTGTGTTGCGCCTCGATGCGAGGCTAAATGACCCCCTTTTCTTTTCGTTTGCGGAGATTGTTGACACATCGGAGTGGCCTTGGAGGCCGAATGATTGAACTGTGCTAACTGGCTCTTCTGGTTGTCGGGAAACCCCTTTCCGTGAAGATTTCTCTGTTTGGGTTGCTGGACTTGGCTGGTTGCTGTTCACCTTCTACGTCAAAGTTTCAAAAAAACGCGCCAGCTATGAAAGTGGCTGCGCAGTGTTTTCTGGGGAGGAGAGACGGAGAGAAGATTTTGGATTACACCTTTTTTTTTTCTGACGGAGCCAAGGAGACGGAGAAAGAAATTTTCTCGAAGAAAAGGAACGAGAGATGACTTCTAAGATACAGAGCGGAGACAAGCAGTCCGAAATCCGTGGTGTGATGAACGATTAAACAACCTACACAGAAGGAAGGTGTATTGAATCAAGAATTCCTGAGTATTTACTGACTTAAGTATGGCCGGTGTTTCTGGGAAGACCGGAGTCCTACCTGTTGGAGGCGGCTGTGGGGTGGAAAGCCTGGCTTCCGAAAGAGTTGCCCATTAACCTTTCTCACATTGTCCTTTTTTCCCTTGCAGATGTATCTGCAGACATTTAAATATTATTCCCTGCATCGTGACAGTATCTTGTCTGAGTTTTCTCGCCTGCATTAAGTACCCAATTTTTGCATGATGCCTCCCAACCGGGAACGGTGAATTGTTAAATATGTAAAGAAGGTATGTAACGTTTCCGTTGTTTCTTCAGATATATAGATGACCGGTCACCACCAAATTAAAATGTAACTGTACTCCTACTATTATCTCCATAAATAAACGTTAGTTTGATTTTACCTACCTAGCTTTGTAATTATTTTAATTAAATGACTTAGCACTGGAGCATAGTACTTGAACGGGTTACTACCCGACATTATGTTTCACAACGTAACCTTCTGAAATTTAGAATTGTTTTATTGTATGTTCAACTCGAATCGTTACTCGAACACTTATGTCATGTGTTTGATACAGTATTGGTTGAAAAGTTTTTGTTATGTTACACATATACATACATTTACCTACTACAAAATTTGGAATGAACATTGATTATTGAAATTACGCAGAAATGATGTTAAGTAGTATCAGTACCACTTGTTATATCTTAGCTCATATTGTTCTAATTCTTCAATAAGATAATAATACGGTAACAGGTCTTCCTGTACATGTAATCATTTTCTCATGTTCTTTAAAGCTGAGATTGTGCATAATCAAAACTACAGTCTTTTCCTCTTCGCATTTCTTTAAAATTCGAGATTTCTAAATATGAAAGGATCAGTAAGATGGCTATTATATCTCGTTTTATTCTAATATTTTGGATTTTAACCGGCATTTTTGTATAAGGATTGAGGAAAATGCCAAAATACGTTTTACTAGAACTAAAGATAAACATTTAGTACATGATTGATATAGCCTTTCTGATTGATTTGGAGGGGATATTTGTAGGGGACCGTACTAATGCTGGTCTGGTTGTGAATACTGTAGGTTAGATCTTGTTTTTGTTAAGTGTGTGTTTTATATTTTTTCGTGGCCTAGGCAATCTTGCAATCTCTGAACAAATTACATTAAAATTGTTGAATTTATATCCATTTTGAAAGGGAGGAGCGTTGTTTGAAAACCAGGTCCAGGCTGTATCTGTCTTATAATTGTAAATTCTGATAGTGATAATTTATCGCATAGAGCAGGTAAAACACCTTATTGATAATGTATTGATATAGCTAAACTATTTGGAACCCACAACCATTGTTAGACGGTTAACATTTCGAGATCGTGGTTCAACTTCTGGAGAGAGCAGGGTTAATGTCTCACTCTTCACTGCTCAAAGATCCTGACAGATTCCATACTATATTCGTTAAATTTCAGGTGAAATTTATCTATAAATAATATATTTATTGTCTCTGATATGTATGCAGTTCTGTAAAACTCTCTGTCACTCTTATGTAAACAAGTAGTACAAACGCGTGAAGATTTTTTATTTCTTTACATATTTCTGATTCCTATGCATACAAATAACATTTCTTTACCACGCTTAACAATCTGTCGGTATGGATGAACATTTGTACTATTCCTTTCTATTAATTTATGTCAAATGTTTGTGTGATATAATTTAAACAAAAATTTTGTTCAGTTACTTTCATTCATTAGATTTCATTATTCAGTAAAACAATTTAAAATAAATCATTGATGCGAAAGTCTGCGAACAAGCATTTTTTGACAAGAACCATACATTTAAGGCAGATAGTTCTAGTAAATGAGCTGAAAATATTAATTTTTGATTCGATTTCCTGTTATATGTTAACCGAAAAGAAGTAGGAGAACAGATTTAATTAATCTGATTTGTAATGTATGTGGAGAAGCACGGTTAGAAAGAACATTTCCTTTCAGTAGGGATACTCTAAAAGTTCATTAGTTGCTTTAAATCCAATGAAAGGCTGTCTAGCCATTTGAATTTGAAAGTATCTTCATTTATCATAAGTCATT